TTAGAATATATTCTATTATATATACGCTTTATATCTAAATATTTTATTATTATAATAGAATATTATAAATATAAAAAGAAATTAATAATATCTCGATCTCGAAAGACTATAAAATAAATATATAAATTAGAAATAATTATTATAAGAGCTATACTTACTTAAATCCCTTTATTTTTTTTTCTAAAATAGAATTATTAGATATTATCTATAAATTTATATAGTTTTAAGAATTACTTATTAAAAAATATAATATCTAGAATAATACGTAGTATTTAATATCTAGAATTAAGATTAGAATTATAGATTAATATTACTTAATATCTTAATATTAAGATTATTATAACTCTTAAATCTCTTTATTATATTATATTAAAAAAAGATCTATAAATAATTTAAAACGTACTCTAAAGATTAATTAAATTACTTTAATATAATATTTAACTAATATAAAGATAATATAATTAATAATAATAATCTATGAGCTAATAGCGAGTGCTTTCGCTATTAAAAAATTTAATATTAATATATTAAGACTACGCTCGTAATACTACTTCTCTCTCTAAAATATTAATTTTCTTAATAATATAAATCGATATAAGTTTTTCTTCTTATTAATAATATTAAGATCGCTATAAATATATATCTATAGAAAATTTAATAAAATCTTAAGGCTTTTAATAGTTTTAAAAGCGTCTTATCTTTAGCGATAATAGCGATAATTATACGCTTTCTAGTATATTTAATAGATATCTTATTAATAGTATATTATAATAGTATTTAAGACTTTAATTTTAAAGAAAATATATAAAGAAGTAATTAAATAATAATTAAATAAGTATTTTACTATAAAATAATTATTAAATATTATATTTTTAGATAGAGAAGATAAGTTAAAATAAAGGCTTTTAATTAATTAGATATTATTAAATTACTCTTAAATTATATACGCTAAGACTTAAATTAATATTAAATAACTTTCTTAATAGAATATTAAATTTATAAAATTATATCGAGATCTTAAATAATAATAGCGAGGCTTAAGATAATATAATATAGTTTCGAAAGTAGTTATCGAGTATATAAGTAAGGGCTATATATTCGATAGACTCTATAAGACGTTATTATTAAGTATTAAATCGCTAAATAATTAAGTTATAAATATAGAAAAATAAGACTTTATTATATATCTAGAAGACTTTAGATAAATTTAATTTATTTAAAAATATAAAGTTTAAGGTTTATCGTATTATATACTAATCTAACTATTCTAGCTAAATATATATAATTTAGTAAATACTCATATTAAGTAATATATATACTTATCGATCTTATTTCTTTATTATATCTTCGCTATTAATATAAGAAGATAAATATAATAATTAATAACCTTCGAACTTATCGTTAGATATATTATTATTTATTATATCGATATTATAAGATAAGAGTTTAATATTAAAATATCTTATCAATTTAGCTATCTTCTTCTCTTTCTACTTTATAATCTCTTATATTTAAATATTTATTATATTCTAATATATAGTCTAATAATAAATATCTTGAGATTTTAATAAAATAGTAAAAGTAGAATTAAAGTTTTCGATTATAAGTATATACTAATAAATCTACTCGCGTAGAGTATTATAGATCGTATTATATTAAAGACTTTTATTCTTATTAATATTTAACGCGTTTAGAGTATATAAATTATAATTTATATTAATAATCTTCTAATTATAAAACTTTATTATAATTAATATTAAATATTTATCGAGATTATAGAGTAGTTACTTTAATATATATATATATATATATTAATTAGATTATTTATCTTTCTCTTTAATCTTAAACTCTTTTAAATTAGTATATAGATTTTATAACTAATTAACTACGATATAATTATCTTTCTATTTATAAATCTTATAACTATTTTAAATATCTTATTATTTAAATATCTCTTTATAAATAATAGATATATAAATAACTAATAGCGTAATTTTAGAAGTCTTATTATATTTATTAAAAGAGTTATTAATACTTATTTTATTAAAGAATTTAATTTAGCGATTAACTACTCTATCGTAGAGCTATATCTATTATAACTTAATTTGTTAATTAATAATACTCTTACTATATATTTAATAATCTTAAAATAAAGACGTTTCGTTTTTTAAATTTAATATTATATATAGATATTAATATATATTAATTATAATTATAATCTCGATTTCTTAATCTAAATATATAAACTTTAATATTATTTTAGCGATATTAATAGTATAAAGATATTATATAATAATACTAATAGCGATATAAGCTAAGATCTTAATATAGATTTAAATAATAAAGTATAAGTAGATATTAATATAGGCGTAAATCTAAATATTATAATTATTAAGCTTTAAATAGCTATTAATAAATTAGACGAAATTAAATCTTAATAGCCTCTATTTTCTTTAATAATAATTCGCCTACTTATCTTATCGAGTAATTCTCTTAAAGTTTATTTTCTTTAGAGCTATCGCGATATAATTTCTATTAATAAGATCTTTTCGATTCTAATATATATATATATATATTAATTTAATATCGAAGTTTATAGCTATCGAGTTTCTTATAATAGCTCTAAGCTTCTCTTATAGCTTTTAATTCTAAATTACTAAATTACTTAGTTTACATCTATATTTTATATTATAAATAATTTAAAAGCTTCTTAATTATCATTTTATAATAATAAACTCTCTCTTATATAGATTACGTAGAATTTATATATCTAATATTATTTCTTTATAGAAGAGAGCTATAAAAAACTCGCTATTAACCGCTTTAAGTATATTATTATAGAACTTAGATCTCTTTTACTTTATATTCTATTTTATAAAATTATATTTAAAAATAAAAATAAAGTAGATAATATATAAATCGTCTTACTCGTTAATTTAAATAAGTATTTAAAATTTAGAGAGTCTTATATTCTACATCTATATAATCTTATATCTAAGAGAATCTAGATTAATAAAGGCGGGTATAATAATTCTAAGGCTTCTTTCGATAATAGAATATTATTTAATTAATTATATATAAGCGTTATAGAGTTATCGCATATATTTTAATAAATTAATATATTATTTAAGCGGTGGCTATAAAAAATGGTTTTGCGATTTTGCGGTTTTCAAAAATTCGAAATTGAGGGGTTAACCCCTCTGTCAGTATGGGTTGCCGTACTAGCCTAGCGGCTTGGCGTCCGTCTCCAACAATAAGACAACTTCACATTTCATACTGGTCCAGCATGATTATCAATTACTGACCTTCCATGTGCGTTGATTTCAAGCATGCTTGGATCTGCTGGTTGGAAGCAACATGGTGTAGGTCGAAGGCTAGCTGACTGGCTCGTTTCTGTACCTTCCCTCTGGTGCCTCCATTTTCATCCACCCATTCCACAGGTAATCCAATTTTCAAAACCATTGGCAATATTGTGGACCTCTAGGTATTGTACCTGCATTGGTAAGCTCAAGGTAAGCAAGCCGGCTGCCAGGACCGCAGCATGTAGACCCCGTGGAAACAGCCCCACCTAAAGGATACTTTGCCCACTCAAACCGTTGCTCCAAGGTCGACGAAAAACATAAAATAAGACACTCGTCTTTCTTCCTTCGAGAAATTGTTATTGTCTAGCTCCTTGAGTAAGTTCGAAGTGTCTCAAATCAGAGGCTTCTTCGCTTCTACACCTACCTTCACCGACACTAAAAACCAGACATACCCTGCTCTTCAAGATACCAAGTCACCAAATCATCACTACATAATGCAGGCCTTGTTCATGATCAGAGAAGGCGCTTCCGTCCCATCCCTTTAATTGATCACCACTCCAAAACCAATCCCAGGCCCAGGCCAAGTTCTCGTTCAGATCAAAGCCTCTCCCATCCAACCCAGCGACATCCTAAACAGCAAGGGTCTCTTCCCTCATACAAGCTTTCCCCGCACTCCTGGCCGCGACTTCGCCGGCGTAGTCGTCGATAGTTCATCGCGAGATATTGGCAAAGAAGTCTGCGGCACCAGCGGACACGACTTCAGCTTCACAGAAGATGGCTGTCACGCTGAGTACTGTCTCATCTCCGAGAAAGCGGTCGTTGAACAACCAAAGAAACTGTCATTCGCGCAAGCAGCGTCAGCAACCACTCCATTCACAACTGCAGCAATCGCGTTGAGACGCGCGGGAGTGAAGGCAGGAGAGACTGTTCTGGTGCTAGGGGCGACGGGGCAGGTTGGCTCGGCTGTTGTGCATCTGGCCAACTTGTGGGGATGCAAAGTCCTCGGTGTTGCGAGAGGGAATGCTGCCGAGATAGACTCAGCTGGAGATCCAACGCTGAGCAAGGCCAAGGCGTTGACTAATGATAAAGGTCCCGATGTAGCTGTTGATGCGGTCGGAGATGCCGAACTCGCACAGGCAGCGATCGAGGTGCTCGGTTTCCGTGGGCGGTACTCGTTCATTCCGGCACCCGGGGGCGGGAACTCGAAGGTGCCTGTGGACTTCCTAAGTGTCTATCGGCAAGAAGTGACTCTTGTCGGAAATAATTCAGTGGAACATTCACAAGAAGAATTGGCGCAGGAGCTGAAGAGTATGTGTGAGGGTTTTGGGTCTGGAGCATTGGTGTCGATGAAGGAAAGTGCGATGATTTTTATCAGCTTGCAGGAGGCCATTGAAGGGTATGCGGATGGTAAGAAGAGATATGTTATCAGTTTGGACTGAGACAATAGCCTCTTGTGACAGATTTCCTTTGTTTGTAGCGTACTGTTACACGGAGGTTGACGTGTATATGCTTTTGGACTTTTGAAAATTCTCAAGGTCTGATATGTTCTTCTCAAACTGACATCCCTCCAATTTCAGACTTTTCAGACTCTTCCTGGAGATCTTCTCCTTTGACTTCAGACCGCACCCTGCTTCCAAACCCTTTGCCTTGTTGCAGACGCCCCTAGGCGTAGAACACTACTCAGACTGTAGCTGCTTTCTATAGGACCTTGACCTTCATCCACTCACTCGTCCCCACTCCGAGATTCAACCCATTTCTCGCCCACCAAGCCCGAATGCTATCCTCACCCGAACCCCCAAGGCTGTCCTCCAACGCCTCCTCGATATCGCAAGTCTTGTACTCCACAGTGTACTTGCTCTGTTTCCACCATTCCAGCACATCCACATGCCCGTTCTTGGTCGGGCCGACCAAGACTTGGTTGTCGTATTGCATCTTCGCGCCCTTGCATTCCTTCCAGAGCTGCAGGACGTCAATGTGGCCGTTCGCGGACGCGATGCGCGCGACGGATGCTTCGTAACCGAAGGGGATGCCGGAGTTGACCCACCACTGGAGTGTGGCGGCTTGGCCATTTTGGGCCGCGTAGATGATGGATTTGCCGACCAAGAGGGGAAGAGGCGGCGTTTGGCTGGTATCCGATGGCACGTTGCTGGCTTTGCGCGCAGAATCTTCACCCTGAGCGTTGTCGGTGCTAGCTTCGTTATAGTCGGTGCGGGCTTCGCTGGCTTGAGGCGACGAAGCCTTGTGCCACCATTCGAGCACTTCGAGATTGCCGCGCGAGGACGCTTGCTCTAGCGCTGCCTCTGTGTAGCGGAGTGGGAGACGTGATTTGCGCCACCAGTCGAGAACGTGGATAAAGCCAGCTTTAGAGGCAGAGTCGAGAGCTTCGGCGTTGTATTCCTTGGTCAGAAAAGACGGTGAGGTGTGCCACCAGTCCAGGATCGCGACCTGGCCAAAGACTGCAGATGCCTTTGTTGGAAGCAAAGTTTGTCCGAACGTAGACCAGAACAGATCTTTATGTTTCGACTCGAGGAAGGAAAGAAGGTTGGTACGCGAGAACTTGATGATGAGCTTCACACAGAGCCGGGAGAGCCATTTAGGTGTTGGATAAAGCCTGAACCACGAGAGCACCTGGTCATAGTTGCCGACCAGCATAGTCCATTCAAGGTCGCCGAATTGCTGCGCATCCACAGAAGTGCCAAGCACTTTGGGGACATGCACCCTCCATTCTGTTGGCATGGGTAGATTGGTATAGATCCCTAGAGATTTTGCGACTTCCCAATCGCCTACGTGATCCATGATCAACGACCAAATTTCGGAAGGCAATTGTGCTTGATTCGGATGAGCATGAATGGGCGAATGCTGACTGCTTCCAGAAACGGGCTCCAAGTCGTGGCCGATTGAAATGAGATCCGCCTGATTTTGAACCTCTTGGATAAGGTCGTCCATACCTGCCCATTTCTGACCCGCACTCAGTGGGTCATCCATGCCATGCCATAAGACAGGCTCGAGAACACGAATCCAATTCCATTTTCTTCTTATTTTGTTTATCTGCTTTCTGGTCATTGGGTTTTCCCACATGGCAAATGTCATCCCCGGGATCATTAGAATCTTTTTGGAGACATCCCAGGATCTGAGCACCTCGAGCAGGAAATGGTCTGTACCTCCCTGCAGCATTCTGCTTAATGAACCGGCGCTCAAGCATGCTATGACCAGTAGATCAGTCCATTCCACCAACTCATCAGATGGCATAAGGTTCTTCTCGTCCGTACGACAGTTGTACAGCCCTCCACCTGGGCCATGATAGTACCTTGTTCTGATGTTGTGTCGATTGTGCAAATGCTCGACAACACTCACGGCAACGCCAGGATCGTGTATGAAATCTTTGTCCTGCGCAACCAGAATATTCACTCTCATGTTGCGTTCTTCGGCTTGTGTTGTCTGGACTTCGGTAGATCTCAGCATTCCAAACTGTCAACGAACCGGGAAATGTATGTACTTGACACGAAAAGAAGGGAGAAGTATTAGAAGGGGATTCAAGGCGGAAAGACATCTGAAGAAATGGGGCCTTTGAGTTATACAGCAGCACAACGCATTTGGATGTGTAGAGTGCTCCCTACTCGTACAGTAACAGTAGGCTCGCCTTGGTCAGTAGGTAATTGGCGAAATGGGAAATGGTGGCACTGGTGGAAATGTTCGAACTTTGGTCGTCGATCACCCTTCAACTCCTCGGCTAAACAATCCACCAATTACATTCCAGCTGAATGCCTGCCTCTAGATGTAGACCTGCGTGCTATGTTCTACAGCTTGATCTTGGGAGGCAGGGATCTGGCCAGCTTCTTGTTGGCTTGATGCTTTCCACGGCTTGAGTCACTCTGCATGCGCGTGTTCTCCGAGTATATTTTTTAGAGTGTATGAGGGTAAAAGAATTGAAGAAAGGGTTAAAGGGTATGGATGGCATTTGGCATCAAAAGGCGGATTTTTCATCATGGGTATCATGACCCCTTTGGAGACTAGGTAGGGTGGAAATAATGACCCATTGGCCAGGCTGTGGCTTGAGGGCAGATAAAGTAGCATTACCGGTCTGCCCTAAGAGGCACCAGAAGGAAGCTAAGTACCTTAAATTTAATGCAAATCCATGTACATAGCCGCCTCATGCAAATAATGCCGCCACACCCTGGTTATCAAAACATTTGCGCAATCATGACCTGATACAATCTGTAACGTGTAAACTACACAACATTCTCATCAGGCGATTTATATTCTCCGCAAGATTTCCATTGCTGCCATTCTCCTTCCTTCCCTAATCACCCTAGCATGCCGATTCAATCCATCATCCTCGCACCTTCCCTATCTACTTGACCGTCTGCCATTGCCAAAATCAAATACCGTCCATTGAGCGCGGCGGAAATACTGCAGAGAAAGAGTCAATGGGCCAATCATATGTCTGTCAACAAGCAAGATGTGGCCAGGCAAGTCAGGGTCCTCCCCAAAGGCACCCAAGTCGCCTCCGACGGGCAAACCTCCACCATCGTCTCCGCATCAACGCTCCGTCTCCGACTCACGCTCCCAAGACCCAAATTTGTGGGGTTCAGAAACACAAGGCGTGCCGTGGAGGCCCAGCCTGCAAGGTACTGATATACATAGCATGAGCTCGCCAATCGCATCACCCTCCTCAGAGTTCCCCTTCGGGGCTATGAGCCCGGCAGCTACGGACCGCGTCTTCCCTATAAGATCTGTGGTATCTGTCCACCCGACACCTACATCCAAGCCCAGGATAGATACGACTGGTGGAGACGGGTTTCCAGGCATGTCTTTGCCAAGCAGTACTACTAGTGAACGCAAGCGTGAATCTCGCCACTTCTCTACGGGCAGTGCATCAGGACTCGAGTCGGAATCAGAGACGCCAGCTACGGACTCCCCTTCCAGACGCCGACGGGAATCAGGAGCCAAATCAGCATCCGTACAAGATCCTGGCGATCACTCACCCGGTGAGCGCATGGGAGGAGCAAGACAGATGCAGACATTTGGCGATTCCGATTCTGTCAGATCCCAGACTGCAGGCGATACTCAAAGCATTGCGGAGTCCGTCAGAAGCCAGGGTGACGATGCTGGAGGTCTCTTCACGGCTCGATTTAAGCATGTTGTTACCGAGGAAGGCCACGCGGTCATCATTGGTCGGGACGGTGACACACTTCAGCGTTGCGAAGATGAGCCTATACATATACCGGGTGCTGTGCAAGGTTTTGGCTTACTCATTGCTCTCCAGGAAATCGAGGAGGGCAAATTTCAAGTCCGAATTGTCAGCGAAAATTCCAAAAGGATAATCGGCTATACTCCCAAACAACTATTTGCTCTTGAGAGCTTTACCGACATACTTTCCGATGAGCAGACCGACAATCTTTTGGACCACGTTGACTTCATCAGAGACGAGGACGCTGATCCAGCTACGAACGGACCCGAAGTCTTCACTTTGGCAATTCGTTCGCCTGCGAGAAAAATGCACAAGATGTGGTGCGCTATGCATTCCAACGAGATCAACCGCGATCTGATCATTTGCGAATTTGAACTGGAAGATGATCCCATCAATCCCTTGGTACCACCGGGCGAAGGCACTCCAGAGCCTCCGGAAGATACGTTACATGGCGAACCAACCCCTGAAGAGTTTGCGGAGAGTACTGTCAACGCAAGTAAACCATTTCGAGTCCTACGAAGCGCAAGGAAGCGCAAAGGCGAAGCCGCAGCGATGGAGGTCTTCAATATTATGTCACAAGTGCAGGAACAGCTAGCCAGCGCTACGACTCTCGACGCCTTCCTCAAGACTCTGGTTGGCGTTGTCAAAGAATTGACCGGGTTTCACCGGGTTATGGTATATCAATTCGATCAAGCGTGGAACGGAAGAGTGGTGACCGAGCTTGTGGATCCAAGAGCGACCAAAGACCTATATAAAGGTCTGAATTTTCCAGCGTCTGACATACCCAAGCAGGCTCGAGATCTCTACAAAGTCAACAAAGTGAGACTATTGTATGATCGTGATCAGGAGACCGCCCGTTTGGTATGTCGAACGATTGAGGACCTCGAGACCCCGCTGGATCTCACTTTTGCCTACCTTCGTGCGATGTCGCCAATCCACATCAAGTATCTCGCGAACATGGCTGTTCGTGCTTCAATGTCCATATCGATCAACGCCTTTGACGAGCTGTGGGGTCTCATCGCTTGTCACTCCTATGGTTCAAAGGGGATGCGCGTGTCCTTCCCCATCCGTAAAATGTGCAGGCTTGTGGGAGACTCGGCATCAAGGAACATCGAACGATTATCGTACGCCTCGCGACTGCAAGCGCGCAAGCTCATCAACACCGTACCTACAGAGCGCAACCCTTCTGGATACATCATTGCGTCCTCGGATGACCTTCTAAAACTGTTCGATGCGGACAATGGCCTTCTCTCGATTCGGGATGAGACCAAGATTCTGGGAAGGCTCGAACAGACACAAGAAGCTCTTGCTATGCTCGAATATCTAAGGCTCAGGAAGATCACTTCAGTAATCAATTCGACGGATATAAGCATAGATTTTCCGGATCTGCGTTATTCACCGGGAATCTCTGTCATTGCTGGACTACTTCTCGTCCCACTATCAATTTCTGGCAGTGACTTTATCGTGTTTTTCAGGAGAAGTCGAACCCGAGAAGTTAAGTGGGCGGGCAACCCTTACGAAAAATTCGTCAGGGAGGGGACAGAAGGGTACCTCGAACCCAGGAAGAGTTTTAGAACCTGGACCGAGACTGTTGTTGGCAAATGCCGCGAGTGGACCGAAGAGCAGATTGAGACAGCCGCTGTGCTATGTTTAGTGTATGGGAAGTTCATTGAAGTTTGGAGGCAAAAGGAAGCTGCATTACAGAACAGCGAATTGACAAAACTCCTACTTGCAAACTCAGCGCACGAAGTGAGAACGCCGTTGAACGCCATTATAAATTATCTTGAGATTGCGCTAGAAGGCGCCATTGACCAAGAAACTCGGGACAATCTAACCAGATCACATTCCGCATCCAAATCACTCATCTATGTTATCAATGATCTCCTTGATTTGACGAAGACAGAGGAAGGCCACAACTTGATCAAAAATGAGGTCTTCGATCTGCCTGCTACCGTCAAAGAAGCGACGGATTCGTTCACGGGCGATGCCAAGCGCAAGCAAATCGAGTATGCGGTTGTGGAACATCCAGGAGTCCCTCAATTCGTCGTGGGCGATCAACGGCGCGTGAGACAAGCAATCACTAATGTCACAGCCAATGCCATTCAACACACATCGAACGGTGCTGTCAAGGTAGAGTTGTGGTTGGCGAACAGCCACGAACACCGCGTAGACATTGATATCGTCGTACAAGATACTGGAGCAGGGATGAGCGCCGAGAAGCTCGATGCATTGTTCAATGACCTCGAGCAGATACAAACGGAAAGCGATGAAGGACTACAAGAAAAGCTAGCCGGGAACACTAAAGCCATAGAGGGCAAAGGAGACTCCAAGAAAACTCTCGGTCTCGGTCTCGCACTTGTCGCTCGTATAGTACGAAATATGAACGGCCAGCTAAGACTTAAATCTGAAGAAGGCAAAGGATCACGTTTCGTGATACAATTAAATTTTGAACTACCGAAGGAGGATAAGAAAACCGCTTTCCTTGATGACATCAACGAAGCGGGCGTGGGGCCACCTCTGAATCAGCCTTCAACGCCGCCCATTGAGACTGGTGAGGTCATGCTCGTCAACAAAAGTGCACAAAAGCCACTTCCAGAGACCCTGAAGGACATAGTGCACCGGAGAAGTGCCGAGAATTTACGGAGCATAGGCAGTATGAAGAGCTTTAAGAGTGGGGAAAGTGCAAGGAGTGACGTTGACAGAATGATTGAAGCGATTCAAGAGCCGACTATGGTAGCAACAGGGTCCTCAGGCGACGGCGAGTACGAAGGACGTTCAGGAAGTCGTGGTAGCGGTCGACAGGAAGGTCCATCATCGTCTTTACGACGACCGGTGAGCGGAACCACGCAGGCCCACTCTACGAGCCTGACTCTCCCCACGTCGTCAGACCAAGTGCTTCAACAACGGGAAGTTCCTGGACTAGCAAATGTGACGGATTCGAAAACCCCCATTAGACCCATTCGGTTGCCAGGCGAAACTAGCACAGGCTCCCCAGAACCGGAGTACCCACCTCGAGAATCAGACTTATCGGCACGAACACCGTCGCGAGTCTTGTTTGATGTTCCCGACAAAAATGCGAAAGTGGAGCCGCCAAATGCAGAGAGGCTTCAGGTACTGGTCGCGGAAGATGACCCCATCAACAGCAAGATCATCAAGAAAAGGTTGGAGAAGGTCGGGCATGAAGTCTACCTGACCATCAATGGCGAAGAATGCTCCAGCACATATGGAGAAAGGCCCGCTTTCTTTGATGTTGTCTTGATGGACATGCAGG